AAATCTAGTGCTCTTCAAAATCTCTTTGTGAGAAGCCATTAGCAATAAAGAGAAGATAAATGCAGTGTTCGTCTTTTTACAGTAAACTCTAACAGCCGGATGCAGAAGTGCAAGCATGGTTCAGAAGACCTTGCCCGGCTCTCTGTAATCCCTCAACTGCATTCATTCCTTGGCATTCCCTTCCTAACACCTGCCCTTTAAATCCTTCACTTTGCATTGTCATTGGACTTTTAGATTCCCTCCTTATCTCTGACCTTTTTATTTAAGGATGTGACTTTTGATTAACCTTTGCCCTGTGGGTCAGCAGTTAAGCTGTACATTCTCCCAGCCCTTTCGTCTTTTGCCTTTTTAGGGACAAAGCCAGTCATGCATAATGTACACTTATTTTGGCCATCTTAAGCCATTCTTAGGTGATGAAACCTCCGAAGGCAGGTGCTGCCAGGGGTGTCCTTGAATAGGAATTATGAGAAAAACTTTTAAGAAGAACATTAGACTTTGGGTTTCTCAGAAAAATTCAGCCTGTTCAAGTTTCATTTCAATGTCATCTTTTAGAGAAAGCTAAAAGAGCACTCTTAACAGAGTCAGTCGTCATATAAATTTTCACATTTTAAAAGTGAGGGGTCAGTTGCAGTGCTGCTGGCAGGGATTAAATATTAGAAACTCTTCCTGAACTCAAGCAGATTTTAGCTTTTTAGGGGAAACAGAATACACACAGATGTCTATAACATAAGGTAGAAGAAATGAGGATAATAAAGCACATAAGGGGATTCTGAGGAAGGAGAGATTAGACTAAGTACTAGAAATCTAGGAGATGGTGTTTAAGATCAGCCATGGGCTGGCTCAGCGGCTCATGCCTGTAATCCCAGCACTTTGGGAGGCTGAAGCAGGAAGATCACTTGAGCCCAGGAGGTTGAGATCAGCCTGGGTAAGATGGCAAGACTCTGTCTCTACAAAAAAAATAAATAAATAAAAAATAGCCAAGTGTGGTGACATGCACTTGTAGTCCCAGCTACTCAGAAGGCTGAGGCAGGAGGATCCCTTGAGCCCAGGAGTTTGAGGCTGCAGTGATGGTGCCACTGAACTCCAACAAGAGGAAAAAGGATCAGCCATGTGGAATTTGGCGCAGGTGGAGGGGTGAGTAGAAGTGAGAACGGGAGCATTCATCCAAGCATTTGGCATCACAGGAGTAAAGTCAGAAGCAGCAAAGAGTGGGCATGTTTGGGGATCTTTAAGTAAAGTAGTTTCACTGGCATGTACAATACACATAGGCATCGTGGAGGGTGAAGGGAAGGACACACTGGGGCCCGGCGGCAGAGGGCCTGCTTTGCTCCGGTGGGCAATCAGGTGGATAAGATACTGAAGGTTTTGTAGCAGAGAAGTGATCACGGCCGTAGTACAGCTGTGATTTGAGAAGGCCCATTAGGGAGCAGTGAGAAAAGTGACATGAAGAGGAAGAAGACTGATTTCAGGTGACGCTGGTTTTATTCTATACTGAAGACCACAGGGGAGCTGGTGGGGGGTGGGAGGCACGTGTCCAAGCCAGGACAGTGGCTGTGGAGATGAGAGAAGGGGTGAATATGCTTAGTAAATTTATGAAATTTTTCTTTAAATGAAAACAACAATTTCTTTTCTTAAATAATTTATTTGCAATAAATTAACAGTTAAATAACAAATTAAAATCAATGGTTAAAAATTCACAAAACATCAAAAAATAAAATCTTTGGTTGATATATCTAATCAAGTTTTACAAAGCACAATAATTGAATTTCATTAAGAAGACACATGAAGAAGATAACTGAATGCTATAGAAAAGAGACAAGCATAATGATAAGGTGCTTTTTCATTTCCAGTCCTAAAATACTTGGTAGCTGAACAGGGCTGTAGAAAGTCTAAACAATGTCTGCAGACCTGGATCTGGGTCCTGGGTTTCCACTAACTACGCATGTGGCCTCTGGAAAGTCACTTGAAAACCCTCTAGAATCATTTTCTCCTCTGTAAAATAAGGGGCTGGCATTATCCCACAGCTCATCAAATAATCTATATGAATCAATGGACCTGTTTATACCTGGTTTCTGGAAGTTTCGAGGGGTGTCCATAGCAGACCAAATATTTCTTTTTTTTTTTTTTTTTTTTTTCTTGAGATGGAGTCTTGCTCTCTGCTGGGCTGCAACTGCCGCTTCCTGGGTTCAAGTGATTCTTCCTCTTCAGCCTTCTGAGTAGATGGGATTACAGGCGCCTGCCACCACGCCCAGCTAATTTTTTTTGGAGATGGGGTTTCAACATGTTGGCCAGGCTGTTCTCAAACTCCTGGCCTCAGGTGATCTGCCTGCCTTAGCCTCCCAAAGTGCTGGGATTACAGGTGTGAGACACCATGCCTGCCCCCAAACACTTTTGTTTCAGTTACAGAGTAGCATAGGTTACATAATCTGTTGAAACTATTCTGTTGGGCTCAAATGATCTATAAACGGATGTACCATCCAGTGAACTACAATGTTTTTGAATCATTAATTCTTGCTGCTGCCATCACTAAGCCTTAAGTACAGGACATCAGAGAAGACTCTAGAATGATTTTTGAGTTAGCTTCCAGTCTCCAGTCACCTTGTGGAGGTTTTGGTCCACATTTGACTATGTTTTCTTTTTGACATTCACCTTTTTTTCTCTTTCCTTCTTTCTTTTCTTTGAGATAGCCATCATTATGTCGCTCAGGCTGGCCTCAAACTCCTGATATCAAGCAGTCCCCCTGCCTCAGCCTCCCGAGTAGCTGGGCCTGCAGGCACATGCCAGCACACCCAGCTTAACAGCCACTTTAACCAAACATGACTTGCTGTACAAAAATGCAAGCAGGCAAAAGAAATCATTTAGGAGGTGAATTATACAGATTAATGATTTAAATGTTTATTCATTTAGTATAGGATTTTTTTGCAACATTTCTTTAAATAATTTCCCCCTCATATAGTTTAATGAGAACTCAATCTCCTCATGACTTTTCAGGAGCACTCTGTTAATTTCAGTAGAAAGGCCTTCTTTGTCCAAGATCATGGCCCCAGCAGCAGAAAAGTGGACTCATCCTGGGTAGAGTGGCAAAATCCTATATTTTGGCAAAGAGATGCTCTTGCTTTCCTTAGCAATATGTTAAAACAAAGCTAACATAAAAATACTGTAAAAAGTATTATTTTGATTTAATTTCAGATGAGAGAGTAAGTAATGTTAATTGACAACTGTCATCAAAACTTTGAAATATACTATCACCCAGTAATTTGGGGGTAAGCTTGTGTCCACATAAGATAGTGAGGAGAGAAAAAAAAAAGCACATTCAGGGAAACCATTTTGGTCTCTTTGCTTATGTGTTTTTCTGGACTATGCAGGGTCCATGGGGAAATTTACCGAATGCAGTTTAAATAAAGGGCCTAGAAGGAAAACTTACTGGTTCAAATAACTCCATTGTATTACAAGTGCGAATGCTGTATTGAGTTTAATGACAATGACCTTTCTATTTCAGGGAAATTAGATTGTAAGAGTTTTATCCAGCTTTCTTCCGATCACCAGACCAGGGAGGCTCATTTCAACTTTTCACAAATAAAATACCATCTTTCTGAGTGGCAGGAAATTTAAATTCCTCCATTGTATATACACTGGAAATCCCTAATCTCAAATCCATCCATTTCCTACGTATGGTTCAGAAGGTTTTAAAACCAATGCACCGTCAAGAAGTTCGGGGAAATAAAATGTCCCAGAGATAATCAAATGACATTATTTGTATTCCAGGTTCAACTATGGGATTTATCTTTGACTCCAAGTATCATCAGGGTGGCATATGGTGATGGATTCTGTCAGATCTGTGCCATTTCATTAACTGATTGGGTACCAGCCCTCCAAGCTAATGTTCCATAGCAAAGAAGACAAATTACAAATTCCTTAGTTCATTAGAGTCTGGTATTACATTTCTATTGTTTACTCTAAATGTTTTGTTTAAACTAAGCTCTCTGCTAAATGAGTCGTTAAATGGTAATGTTTGGATTTTCATAATTATAATTGAATTTTACAGGTCTTAAATCAGCAGGAGTTCAGGCTGAGTGGAAAGTTTTAATGCATGACATGTGAAACTAAGGCTTTAGCTAACTTATTTCAGCTAACTGTTTTTCATAAGAAAACTGAACTCTAACACATAAATTGTCCAGTCCTTTCTTCTCACAGATATAATTCACTATTTGGCTTTAGTAATCACTTATGTACAAATGGCTCAGCACAAGTAGCACCTCACATTTCCACAGAGTTAAAAGGATACAGAACTTTTTCACATATATCTGCTGCATTCCTGTAATCCCCACCCCTTAGCTGGGGGCGGTTGGAGGGGGGTGTCTTTTCTCCGCAGCTTTTTCCCACAAGTCTCCCAGGTTGGTTTCTGCAGGGGTTATCTTTCTATTCATCAATCTTAAGATTGATTTTGTTCACTCTTGATCAGATACATCTCATTTTTCAAAACCAACTTCAAAATCTGTTCTAAGGGAAGCATATGCTACTCATCCATCTGCAGCCCATTATGAGAAAACTTCTTCTTTCTTTTTTTGAGAGGGAGTCTCACTCCGTTGCTCAGGCTGGAGTTCAGTGGTATGATCTTGGCTCACTGCAACCTCCTCCTCCCAGGTTCAAGTAATTCTCGTGCCTCAACCTCCCGAGTAGCTGGGATTACAGGTGCGCACTACCACACCTGGCTCATTTTTATATTTTTAGTAGAGATGGGGGTTTCACTATGTTGGCCAGACTCCTGACCTCAGGTGATCTGCCCATCTCAGCCTCCCAAAGTGCTGGGATTATAGGCATGAGCCACTGCGCCCAGCCCATCAATCTTAAGATTTTGTTCACCCTTGACCACATCTCATTTTTCAAAACAAACTTTAAAATATGTTCTGAAGGAAGCATATTCAATTTATTCATCTGAGATCCCTTATGAGAAAACTTCTTTCTTATAACTGAAGACATAGAGTAAATAGTGATTTTCAACCCTTTTTTTTTTTCTTACTTAGAATTTTTTATCCAAAAGTCTTATGCAGAACCTGGACTTAAAATAGGCAGAGGTAGGCTGCTCTACCTGACATCCCTGGCTGGTGGGCAGCCCACCAGTGACATTCCTCATGGCTCCTTTCAGCTCCCTGTAGCTGTCCCTGTGCCACCTCCCAGGAAGCTTAAATTCATGCTTCACGAGTTATCATCAAGTCAACTCTGGACCGTGCAAACGTCTGTCCACAGCCAGTGATTTCTGAGCAAGTGCTGCCCGGGGAGATGACAGCCAGAGCCACACTAAGGAATGTGGTGGCTTGGGCCAGGTGAAGGAACCTGGCAGTTCTCAAGCAGAGTCCTGTCCTCCAGGCCCGGCAGGGGACGTCCTTGAGGGAAGAGCCCCAGAAAGTTTCCCTGAGCAGACACTCCTGTTTGTTGCAGGCTTTGCTCCCTCAAGACCTTGACCAAGAAGTTGATATACCTCATTGCCAGGCGAAGCGTTTCATTTTTGCTCAGCTTTTTGTCCGGAGGGTGAGTGGGGATGAGCTTCCTCAGCTTGGCAAAGGCGCTGTTGACATTCTGCTGCCTCCAGCGCTCCCTGGTATTTGTGAAGATCTTCCTGGTCATGTCTGAGTTCCTGAGATGGAAAGAAAAAGGGCCCTCAGGGCCAACATCTTATAAGAGGCCTGATTGGTATCACGTGTCCTGCCAAGAACCTGAGATGTTAGATTTTCTCGACCCAGAGCTTAGGAGATTCATTTCCTCAATTTCAAGTTTTTTGACAAGAGAAGAAAATGTAGCAGAGAGGGGAAGGTAAGAACAACACCCTTCAGCCTTTCTCCCTGGCTATTCTGAAGTCTCCAATCAAAAGACTGCTTTGCCCCAATACTCCTATTTCTTCCTTTATAACCAAGCCTTCCTAACTGTTCGGAATCAGGTACAATATTGATTGAGTTTACGTGTGAATACAATATATGTTTGGCCAAGAGAAAGTTTTCTTTTTTTCTTTTTCTTTTTCTTTTTTGAGATGGAGTCTCACTCTGTCACCCAGGCTGGAATGCCATGGCACAATCTCAGCTCACTGCAACCTCCAGCTCCCGGATTCGAGCAATTCTCCTGCCTCAGCCTCCAGAGTAGCTGTGACTATTATAGATGCCTGCCACTATCTTTGGCTAATTTTTGTGTTTTTCATAGAGATGAAGTTTCACCATGTTAGCCAGGCTGATCTTGAAGTCCTGATCTCAGGTCGTCTGCCTGCCTTGGCCTCCCAAAGTGCTGGGATTGTAGGCATGAGTCACTGCACCCAGCCACCAACAGAAAGTTGAGTATGAATCAAGTGTATTCTCAGAATGAAGTAAAAAAAGAAAATGATTCTAGGTTTCATTGATAAAATAACATTTGGAATGGAGAAGACAATACAGCTCTCCTGTTAGCTGGCAGAACCCACCCAGAGGATTCAGCCCCTCTCTGTAAGAACGGAAATATCCAGACTGGACTATATTTAGGAGGGGAAGAACAGAGTGATGAAGGGTCTTGAAACCCGGTTGTTGGGATGTTTAGTCTCACAAAAATGAAAAGACAAGGGGCAGGTGGCAGTGGTCATTTGGTGTGGATTCCATAGAAGATACTTGGGCCTCTTCGGGACTGCACTGGATGACCTTCCCAAGTCTAGAAGAGTTCTTTAGCATCATATACTGCCAAGTATTATGCAGCCAGTTTTCACTCTTAGAGGCATGGGCCGCTTTTTTTCAGGTGGCTTGGACTAACATGTGCTATAGGAACGCTTGGGACGCACTGGCAAACAAGCCAAAGGCCAGCCTCAGGCAGGCTGGTATTTCGGCTTAGTGCTGTTGGTCTGCTGCCTGCCCTACGCTCAGCTCCCCCGGGCACGGAGCCCTTTCTAGTTTTCCAAAGACTCATGAATATTCTCAACTCTACCCTTTTGCACATTGTCATTTTCTGTTCCTTGCATTTCCTCCCCACTCTCTACTTACCTATTTCTTTAAAGAGCAGGTCAGATCTTTCCTTTCCACCAAGCCCTGACTCTACAGGAGTCTTCAGAGAATTCAGCCATCAGTGGAGCCGTATGCATGCTGGTCAAGAGCACAGGCTCCAAGGCCAGAACCCTGGTTTGGCTGTTGGTTCTACTCCCCCTAGCTGTGTGACCTTCAGCAATCTACTTAACCTCTCTGTGTTTCAAATGCCCCATAAGTAAAGGTCAGTTCAGGGGTACTGCATCATCGTGAGGACACATAAAATGATGCACATAAAGCACCTTAGCTCAGTGACTGGTGCATAGTGAAGGCTCAATAAATATTTAATGATTGGCCGGGCTCTATGGCTCACACCTGGAATCCCAACACTTTGGGAGGCCAAGGCGGGCAGATCATCTGAGGTCAGGAGTTTGAGACCAGCCTGGCCAACATGGTGAAATCCCGTCTCTATTAAAAATACAAAAATTAGCCAAGTATGGTGGTGTATGCCTGTAGTCAGAGCCAATCAGGATGCTGAGACAGGAAAATTGCTTGAACCCAGGAGGTGGAGGTTGCAGTAAGTCAAGATCACTCCACTGCACTCCAGCCTGGGTGATAGAGTGAGACTCTGTCTCAACTACAACAAAAAATTAATAATTATTATCTCTACAAATAAAACAGAGAAAAGTAAACATTGTAATTTATCATTTTCTTCCTAATGAAGAAGTTATCATGCAGTAGAGAAGGTCTGAGCTTTGTTTATGTGCTCTTTTGATTCACTTTACAGGAATGGGTGTGTGTGTGTGTGTGTGTGTGTGTGTGTGTATGTGTGTGTGTGTATGCAGAGCAAAAACCTGGAAGGATTCAGGACAAACTGTCAACAGTGGTTCCCTGGGGGAGGACAGTAGATTGGGAGAAGAGAAAAAAGGGAGACATGGTGTTTTATTCTATATGCTTTAATATTGTTATACATATATATATATATACACACACACACACACACACATACACACATACATATATATGTGTATATGTAAATATATGTATATATATATGTGTGTGTGTGTGTGTGTGTGTCTGTGTGTGTGTGTATGTATTTTTTTTGAGATGGCATCTCACTCTGTTGCCCAGGCTGGAGTGCAGTGGCATGAGCTCAGCTCACTGCAACCTCTGCCTCCCAGGTTCAAGCGATTCTCCTGCCTCAGCCTCCCGAGTAGCTAGGATTACAGGTGCATGTGCCACCATGCCAGGCTAATTTTTTTGTACTTTTAGTAGAGACAGGGTTTTACCACATTGGCCAGGATGGTCTCAATATCCTGATCTCATGACCTGCCCACCCTGGCCTCCCAAAGTGCTGGGATTACAGATGTGAGCCACCGCTCCCAGCTGTTTTATATTTTTATAAGAAATTATTCATGTATTATTTGCTTCATAATAGAAAAAAATGTTTTAAATACTATGGGCTTTAGAGCAGAAACACCCAGCTTTGACTCTCTACTCTCAATTTCCTAGTTATCGGTTAACTTCTCGAGCCTCGGTTTTCTTCTCTGGAAAATGATGGGAGATACAGCCATCTGCAGGACTTTTGTGAGGATTACATGAAATGCATTATAAAGTGTCTGGCACGTGGGTGCTAAATAAATGCAGCAATTTCTTCCCTATACACATGGAAAGCATCATTGTTACAAAGAAAAGCATTTTTCTTTCTCTTTGTGCTTTTTCAAAAAACTATTTTTGGTAGAGAGAGGGTCTCACTATGTTGCCCAGGCTGGCTTGGAACTCCTGGCCTCAAGCAATCCTCCTGCCTCAGCCTCCCAGAGTGCTGGGATTACAGGCCAACCACCATACCAATTGCATTTTTCAATCATCTCAGTGCCCCCAGGACATTTCCGCACCCCAGCTCCTTTCCTGTTGCCTCTCCTGCTTGTGTCTGAGTTGGAGAGTCCAGGGCTGTGCTGCGAATTCACGGCCAACTGGAAGAACTGCAGCCCAAGGTCACTGCATGGCTTCCGGCTCCCTCCACTGCCTGCTTGGACCCACATCCTCTCTCTGTGGAGACATTCCCAGTTGGACCCACGGACCAATCACAATACTATGCACTCCAAGCTTTGGGACCAACACTTACTGAACCAGGTATAATGCTGGCTGGTGAGTGCTGAGAGGCTGGCTGATTGTTCTGATGTGTGAGGGAAGCACTGGGACTACAGGAGCAGAGCAGCAGCAGCTAACCAGGAACTCCAGCAGGCTCCCAGGCAGGCCAGGTCTCCTTCCAAAACTGAAAGGGGTGGGCCAGGTGATCCCCAAGACCTCTTTCTACTCCGAAATGTCACAATGCCCCGCCCATTGCCTTTTTTTTTTTTTTTTTTTTAAACAGATCTTTGCTGCCGTTGCCCAGGCTGGAGTGCAGTGGCCAATCATAAAATCTTGGCTCAATGCAACCTCTACCTCCCGTAGCGCAGTCTCAGCTCAGTGCAACCTCTTCCTCCCAGGTTCAAGCAATTTTCCCGCCTCAGCCTCCCAGGTAGCTGATATTACAGGCACCTGCCACCACGTACAGCTAATTTTTGTATTTTCAGTAGAGACAGTTTTTCACTATGTTGACCAGGCTGGTCTCAAACTCCTGACCTCAGGTGATCACCCACCTCAGCCTCCCAAAGTACTGGGATTACAGGCATGAGCCACGATGCCCAGCCCCACTGCCTTTTATTTAACCTAAGTCATTTCTGAATAACCTGACCTCTGGTATTACTATGAAAACATGAATGTTGTCAGAACTATACCCAAGTATATCTAAAATGTAAAAGTTTGAACCTGAATCAAGGGGATTTTAAGGTAGAAAACGATCCAGTTTTGTTCACACAGACACTGGCCAGGATTGTAGGAGCAAAGTTACATTCACGCTTCTCTCATCAAAAGAGGGTTTAGCTCATTCACTAAGTCAACCGTAGTCCCATGGGGGGTCTTTTTCAGGCTGGGAGGAAAAAAGATTAGGCAGGGTAAACTAACTGCGGTGTTCTTTTCTAAGAGGGCTCTATCCTATTGTACTAGAAACAGACAGAAGAAAACAGAGAAGACTGGCTTCTAAAATGTAGTGTGCCATCCTAGGAGGTGCTTAATCATTCCTTGTTGATTTATCCTCAAGTGTGTTCCTCTCCTTCTCCACAGGGGAAACAGAAATCAGTGATTTAACAAGCTGGAAAAGCTCAAAGTAGAGGTCACTGGAAAATCAGTCAAGTACTTATTAAATCAAAGGAAAATTGCATTTAGTGTTTTTCCAGTTGCAAGGACTGATTGCTGCTAATCATGATTTCAGAGTAACGTAAGAGCTAAAAAAAAAAAAAAAAAAAAATACACTAAATGCCACAAAATCAAAGAATATTTGATAGATGCCAAAACAGAGGCGAAGCATTTAGGCTACACAGGGAATCAGCGGTACAGCCTGTGTCCCAGAACTGGATATTGACGCATTTACATCACCATTGAGGACTCCTGCCAGGTCGGGGTTCATAACGTTTTTTGTACCATGGACCCTTTTAGCAATCTGGGGAAGCCTAGGAACAGATTCCTTTTCAGAACAATGATTTTAAATACATAAAGTAAAAATGCTTTGGTTCCCATCTCACAATTTTTTTAAGTCCATAAATCAAAATATATAGACACAGAAAATAATCAATTATATTTAGTAGTTGTTAAAATAACTTAAAATACAATATAGCAATACATGTGCTTCATTTTTAACCCATTAAATAACTAGTTTTATTACGATAATCTCTAAAAAGTGAATGTAAGTGATGTTTTCAAAAGATCTGCAACATCTGTGACATGAAATGCGTGTATTTACGATATCTACACAAATTCACTGCTATGGCTAATGCTACCGTAATTTATTACCCATATTCATAAAGGAAATGCTATATTTCAATGAAAAGTTAGTGGAAGTAAAGGTGTAATTTTTCTCCAGCCAAATTCATAGAACCCCTGAATTCCATCTACATATCCTTGGGTGGATGGGGGTTGTGTACCCAGGTTAAGAATGCCTAGGTTGGAGGAAAGTCAGGTAGAAACACCAGGAACATGGATATGCATAAATTCTCTGTTTATATTGTTGCTACTGAAGGTAACATATTAGCAGAGAAAAGGAGGACACAGTCCCCTAAGAAGGTGACCAATGCCCCTAACAAGAGCTGCTACTTTTTGTGCCCGGGGTTCCTGGACACGAAAAGGGGCGGCGGTGGGGAAAAGGGGGCTGTCCCAGGCATTCACTCACATACAGCTCTTTCTACATTCCGCTTTAAATGTCTCTTCCTGGCGTTTGGTCCTGTGCATTTGTCTCTTCCTTCACCTTTCTCTTGAAAGTAAGTGAAAATACTCAATACGAAAGGTGGTTTATAGAGTTAGATTGGGGAGCAGTGCTTCACCTCCAACACTAGGCACAGCTTGCCTTTTCAAGTTATTATAGACGTAACAAGCTCATCTAAGAATAAACATATCAAGCGTACACATGTGTCTAAAGTAGAGCAGAAAAGGCTCCCTACCCGTCTAGCTACTCAAGTCTCACTCCCCAGGTGCAGCCAGTTTGGTGTATTACACCCCCAACCTTTAAAATCACCATATGTATTATGCAAGTTACTTTTCTCACTTACACAACTGTGCATGTTGATATATTAAATCAGCACACAGTATGAATACTGCTCTTTGGCGCGGTTCACAGTAGCCTCACACTGGGGGAACCACCTGTTCGAAGATGCACGCAACACCTGCCCCTCGCAGCCTGGACGCATGTGGAATACCCCGCCCAACCGGCCCAACATTCTTCCCTTGCCGGCTGCACTTCTAGGCCTTTTTCTTTTTGTTTTTACAACGTTTGCTCCCCCTTGCAAACCTTGCCTTGCCTACTAAGTATTTCGGGAGTCCGGGAAAGCATCTCGTGGCTGAAGTTTCGAAACTGCCAGGTATCCGGGAGTGGCTCCGAGACGCGCGAGCTCCTTGAAGGGCTCTGGGAGATGCGCTGCCGGGAGCGGTACAGGAGGTTCCCGGCATCACGCTAGAGAGTCGGCCTGGCACCCCCGGAGCCGAGCCACTGCCCCTGCCCCGCGGAAAGTCCCCGGGTCTTCCCACCGAATTGGCTCGGTGGCTGCTACCAAGTCTCCGCCGCTCCCCTGCTCTCCCGGGTGAATGTGAGTGTGGCTTAGCGAGAGACCCGCAGGCCCACGAGCCCTGCCCTGGTGGCGCCCACGTCCCCCCGGAGTCCACGCACCTCCTCGCCAAGAGCCCGCGCCGTCGCCGTCGCCCTCGCCGGCCGTGTGCGCCCTCGCCTGGACACCGCGCCGCCGCTGCCTTTATAGGACGCCGCCCTTTGTCTCGCGGGCCCTGGGGGCCCCTTCCCGATGGGGACTCCCACCAGTTCCTCCCCACTCCCCGCGCGCTGGCTTCCCGGATCAGCCCCCTCTTGTGTTCCAGAAAGGAAGCAAGGGAGGAAAGAGAGCCCCGCCTTGTGTGAGACTTGGGGGCGGTAAAGTCCTGCCACATACCTGGGCTGGGGGAGCCGCTTACCCACCTCCTTCTCCAACACATTAAAACCTGGGAAAGTCGGTATCCACTGTTAATTCATCAGTTGTTCACTAAGCCTCAGTGAACCTCCAAGTGGAGTTCAGGAACCCCTTGCTTCAGAATCGCAGGTGGGGAAGGAGGATCCCAACACCCACGACCCGGACCCACGAAACCAGGAGTTTTTGGGGGGTAGAGGTGTGGTCCAAAATCTGTATTTTTAAAACCTAAGTGTTTCAGGAGATTAAGATGCACAGCAGAATTTCAGTCACTGTACTGGGCAGGGTTCCGAATTTAACCACCTGCGTCCACAGTGCCCAGAGAGGGAGGGGCCGCCTAACGGGTCTTCCTGCTTCTGCACTTGCCTCCTCCTGTCTGTTCTCCAAGATCATCCAGAATGATGCTATGAAAACGCAAATCAGATTCTGGTCACTTCTCCACTCAAAACCCCTTAGTGGCTCTCCATTTCACTGGGTTAAGCTGAAGCTCTTGTAAGGGGCTCAGACATATCTTTTACCCCTCTGACCTGTCTCTTCTCCCTGGGGCTCACTCAGTTCTAGCCACTCTGGTCTCTTTGTTGTTTCAGGAATACACCAGACACCCTCCTTCCACCAGGCCTTTTCACTGACTGTTTCCTCTGCCTTAAACACCTCCCCCAGATAGCCACATGATTCCCTCCTTAACCTCCTTTCATTTATTCAACACATTATTATTGAGAGCCTACCATGAGCTAAGCCCTGTTCTAGTTGCTGGGGACACAACTTCAAACAAAACAGATACAAGTCTTCACGCTCAAGGAGCTGACATTCTTTAGGTCTTCACTCAAATATCACCTTCTCAGTGAAGTCTCTAACCACAATATCTAAAATTGCACCACCTCTCTGGTGTGCTAGTAAGCCTGTAACCCCACCTGCTCCAAAAGCTGAGGCAAGAGGATAGCTTGAGGCCAGGAGTCTGAGGCTGTAGTGCACTATGATCGCACCTGTAAATAGTCACAACACTCCAGTGGTCAACATAGTGAGACCCTGTCTGTTAAAAAAAAAAAAAAAAAAAAAAGTAAAATGATTTCTTTACACACACAGAGTCTTCATCCTTCTGTTTGCTTTATTCTTAACACTCCTCCCTGCTTAGTAATATTTACTTATCTTCTCTGCCTCTTCCCCACCCCATCTACTCCCAGTGAATAGGTGTTCATCAAATGTTGATTAATGAATGAATAAGTAATGAATTCCTAGGTACCACTCTCTCTGAAAGATCTGGTATAGGATCTGGCACAATAAATTCACAAATGCATTACACCTTAGTGGATAAGAGCAAAGCGCTCTGGAGTTACATTACCCAACTGGTAATTCCTTGTCTATTCACTTATGTGATCCTAGGCAAATTATAGAATGTATGCTTGCCTTAGTTTCTTTATCTGTAAAATGGGGACAAAGACAGAATTGTGAGGATTAAATGAGAAAAAAGTAGGTAAAGCATTTAGCAGTATGCCTAGCACACAGTCAGTATATTGTAGATTTTATTGTGGTCCATTGTATTATTGTTAACAACTATTGGCTCCATTCCCTGGGAGAGGATTATATAGCCCCATTCACTGCCATGTGATTGACAGCGCCTCCCTGTAAGTGGTGGGACTATATCTCCCTGCCCTATTGCCAGGCTTGACCATAAGACTTGTATCAGCCAGTAGAATGTGAACAGCCCTAATGTTGCTCATGATGGAGCTTTACAAGGGGTTGCTGGACCTGGCATGGTGGTAATCCCAGCACTTTGGGAGGCTGATGCGGGCAGATCACCTGAGACCAGGAGTTCTAGACCCGCCTGGCCAACATGGTGAAACCCAGTCTCTACTAAAAATATAAAAAATTAGCCAGGCATGATGGTGCACCACTGTAATCCCAGCCACTTGGGAGGCTGAGGCAGGAGAATCACTTGAACTTGGGAGGCAGGGGTTGCAGTGAGCCAAGATCATGCAACTGCATTCCAGCCTGGGGACAGAGCAAGACGCTGATTGGGATTGCTGGATAGGCTCAGCCATGAGTAAGTTATATTTGGGGTTGCTTGTGCAGCCTGGATGCCACAGAGCAAACCCACAACCATCCATAGCCCTCATACAACATGAGTGAGAAATAAATCTTTACTGTCTTAAGTCACTGAGACTTTGGGGTTGCTTGTCACACCACCACCCACCTTACCCACCTCTAAAACAAACAATACAGTTTTATTATAAATTAAAGTGTGTTGGATAAATTGCTAGGTTATGGTGGTAGGCGGGGAGTGGGGTAGGATGGGAGGTGGGCCTAAAGGTGAGAAAAGCTCTGTATCTGTTTTCAAGGCACTAACTATTGGAAGGGAGAAGACATGACGATGTGACTAATATAAGGTAGACAGTCCTGCATGTGAGAGAGTGTTACATTAGAGTTAGGGATAGAGCAGTAGAAGATTCTAGCTGGCGGATCAGAGGTTACTCATGGGATGGATGGCATTTAAACTAGGCCTTGGAGCAAGGGTGGCTCTAACATTTGTGGGGCCCATGACAAGGGTACAAATGGAGACTCCATCCCCACCCATTCTTTTCCTACCCGCTAGCTCTGGCCTTTTCTGTGCAGGGCCCTGTGAATATGATGTGAACTCCTAGCCCACATGGGCCTCAGGAATAGCCCTATCTAGGCCCTGGAAATGGGCTCACAGCCATTTGAGCAGAAATTCAGGGGTCCCAGATACCCAGAGTATGTTCTAGAAGGTAGGACATGGGGGTTGGGTGAGCACTGCAGGAGGGCCAGAGCAGGGCCATCTGAAGCGCAGTGTCCAGGGCAGGGGATCTGACGGCCTGGGTGGCTGGTGGAGGGTGGTAAAGGCTGGGTAGGAATTGTAATACAAGTGCAGGAGTGGAGAAGAGGGCAGCCCAGGCAAATACAACCGTGTGCTTTGAACATGGGAACAGTATGTTTAGTTACAGGTCACAGGACTCATTCTAGTGGCAGTATAGAGGATGGATTGGAGGGTGGATTAGAGAAAATTAGTTGGTCAAAAGGGATCTTTAGAAACATAACATAAAGCCAGGCGTGGTGGCTCATGCCTGTAATTCCAGCACTTTGGGAGTCCGATGCAGTTGGATCACCTGAGGTCAGGGGTTTGGGACCAGCCTGACCAACATGGTAAAAACCCAACTCTACTAAAAATACAAAAATTAGCCAGGTATGGTGGTGCATACCTGCAATCCCAGCTACTTGGGAGGCTGAGGCATGAGAATTGTTTTGCTTGAGGCAGGGGTTGCAGTGAGCCGAGATCATGCCACTGCTCTCCAACCTGGGCGACAGAGTGAGACTCCATCTCGATAAACAAACAACAAAAAACTAAAGTTTGCAGTCAACTTCCCTGATTTGCTCCTCTTTCTGCTCCTCTGTTCTACCTATATGGCAATTCTGATACAGCAAATGTTATATTTTAAAGCAATAACCAGTATTAATCTTCACCTTAGACAAAAACCGTAAGGTAGTATTTTTTTCAATGGCATATTTTACAGCTGAGAAAAAGAACTGTGGTAATAGGGCAGCAAGATTGGAAACGTGTGATGCTAAATGAGACAAGCTGTCAAATAGGATCTGTGTGCAAGTGGACATGGACCGAGAGAAAGGACAGGGGACACAGAGAAAGGAGCATGATTGTGTTGACATACTGGGAGCAGGATTGATGTTTTTTTCCTTTCAAAATGTTCTTAAATGCTATTGTTGGTTTTATACTTTTAGAAGCGGGGGAACAATCGTTGGGGCATCATTCCACTAGCAGTGATCCTTCAGAGTGATGGGTCCTCTCCTATGCCAGTCTCCCAATGTAGAGAATTTGGGGGCTAGGACCTGCAGGGGAAGGGGTTGAAGTAGGAATTTACATAAGCCGATTATTAGGGGATTAGGTTTGGGCAGCTAAACGCCTCTGTGTGCTTGAGCTAAAACCCTTACTATTCATGGCTCTCACCGCCCCCTGGAGAGACTGCACCTGCGAGCTCCTGGGAAGGAAACAGAGGGCTGGGGAGGGAAGGGCAGCTCACTAGGAGAGCTTGGGCACTGTCAGGCTTTCTGGTTCTCCTGGTTTAATTGATTTGTCTGGATTAGCCTGTGAATCCTGGCCTTCTAGTCCTGTATACAGGGGTAGTCAGTTTCAGGAAAAGACCAAACCTGGGATTTTTGTTATTTATTTATTTTATTCATAAAAGTAGAGACAGGATCTCACCATCTTGCCCAAGCTGATCTTGAACTCTTGGACTCAAACAATCCTCTGGACTTGGCTTCCCAAAGTGTTGGAATTACAGGAGTCAGCCACAGCCATGGCCCAAACTTGGAACTTTTGGAAGGGATTTCTGCCATCCTAAGTGGGTGTGGGCCAAGATTGTTTTGGCTGGAGGTCAAGCATCAGCCTTTGCCACTCTTAAAACGCACTTCTTCCCTCCTCCATTCTTGACCCTTTACCAATCTCCAATTCTATGTATTGAGGCCCCTATTCATCCATCATCTCTCCATTTATCCAGTCATTTATTCACCCCTTCTTTCATCGACCTATTGTGCATGAATCCATTAATTTATTAAACAGATTAATTAGCTGGTTCTTGATATTTAATACAATTTACTAGTAAATCCTTCTAGGTAGGTTTTGTTCCTTCCTGTGTTCTGTCTCTCCTTAAATTAATTTTGGCACTTTGACATATAATTTTGGACATTTTCAGATTCATCAGAACAGTGTTATATT